TAACTTATTTTAATATATATATATATATAAATTATTTATTTATTTTCCAAAATGTGATTTTTAATTAACATTTCTTAACTAATACTCCCTCTATCATAATATGTAAAGAAGATTAATTATAAGATTAATTATGTAAAATTATTATTTTATTTTATTTACTAATTTTTCTTGATTCATATAAAATAATTTAGGACGACACTTATTATCGAGTGAGAGGAATATATTATAATAAAACTCTTTTATAATATTTTTTAAAATAAATATTTTACTCACTTTGTATTGAATATTGTAGTGCTTTTTACAATTTAAATTAAAACATACTTTGTTTTAACACACATAAATTTAGTATTTTTATTCTTGTAATCATAATATTGTTATATATCACCGGAAATATAACAAATCTTTACTGAAAACTATAAGCGTACACAAGATAGATATTTTCACTCAACATAGTTTATTTCATATTCAATATCAAAAATTGAACTTTAAACAACTTTGTTAAGAAATACAAGTAATTTAAGCTAGTGAATTGTTAGTCATTAAATTCTTGCAATCAAATAATGTTAAAGATAAAAATATTATTCAATTGACGTTATTAATTATTGCACATTTAAATAAATTTCAAAAAAATAATTTATGCATTTTTTTTTATAACAAATGACTATTTTATAAATTCATATGATTTAAATGATATTAATAGTATAATTGTTATTCCATTATGTCCAAATTCAAATGAGTACGACGTATAAGGTGCTAATCAATGAGGAAACACGGGTGTTGGTGAATGACTTACGCTTTTCGGTTTGTATCGTGGAGGAACATGGAGGACAATTTATGATAAAAGAATGGGATAGCGATGATAACACCTTAGAGGATGTCTCCGTTGATCAATCATTTGATTTGGAGGATTTGAAAAATTATTCCTCTGATGAGGATAGAGGGATGGAGGAGGGGCAACTGGAGACAAAGAATAAAGAACGTAGTAGTGGTGAGGCCTCATCGGGGATTGGCAATGACGATAGTGGTGGGAATTGTGTTGAGGGGGTAGAGCAAACGGTGGAACAGATGGTTGAAGGGGCAACAAAATCCGCTATGGCAGTTGCTAAACTTACAAATTTGGTAATGGAAGGTTTTAAAGCAATTGAAGGGGCTATTAACGAAGTCTCTAAGAATATTCAAAATGGGGCATAGGGGAATATGCATAATGATATGGTGAGCCCTATGAGGGAGGTAGGCGATGATCACTATGTGACATTGGATGATGGTGGTGGTTTGATTAACAATGGGAGTAGGGCGGGTAGTAAAAAGAAATGAGTGTTTAGTAAAGGGGGTGGTGTGGAGGGTGATGATGGAGGGGTGCGAACAGAGGTGGAAATGGAGGTTCTAAATGTGGTGACTACTGATGGTGTTGATCCAAATCCTCCCAAAGATGTGACTAAAGGGGGGTTTGAATTCTAAAACAACGGAGGGCCTGAGTCGGGATGGGTGTGCATGGCTAGATGAGGAATTGGGGCTAGTATCCCAGAAGGACCTTCTTGGGTTTAACAAAGTACTCTGGCCAGATGAAGTGGAGAGGTGTATTGAGCCTAGGGAGGGGGTGGTGTCAATAGACTCCCTTCAAGCCAAAAGTGATGAGCCTATTGTGAGAAATAATATGAGAAGTGTACTAAAAAAAGCCAGAAAGAAAAAGCAGAACAAAGGAGCTTCCCAAGATTCGGTGTCAACGTCGGAAGATTTTGTGTCTGCAACGACTATTGTAGATGGTGGGACCTCAACGTTGGTCCCGTCGATTGAGACTAAAGGTGTTAATTCAGGTGCAAAGTTAGAACGGTGTTGTGATGAAGTCATGGTTGATCATATTCTCTCTATCTGCAAGAGTGTTAGAATGGAGGTGCGTGGGAATAAAGACGAGGTGCAACAGAAACTTATTTCCTTAGAGTGGAGGGATCGTATGGTGGCGATTGGTAATAGGGGTTCCTCGGATATGCAATGAGACTTGGTACATTCAATTATCGTGGACTAGAGGGTGATGTGAAAAGGCGTCGTATATCTGAGCTTATTCGATTTGAGGAGCTAGATTTTATTGCAATATAGGAGTCTAAATTGGAAAGGTGTGATCATGCTTTTTGTGCTTACTTATGGGGATCTATAGAGTTTGAGTGGTTTGCTTCTCCTTCTCAAGGTAGGAGTGGCAGTCTACTTTCTATTTGAAACTCTAACCGAGGTAAATTGGTGTTTACATTTTCTGGTTCTGGTTTCCATGGTATTTGCTTGCAATGAGGTGTGAATGCGAATAAGTGTGTGGTGATGAATGTCTATTCTCCTTATCAGTTGGTGGATAAGCGACGGTTGTGGGAAGAGATAATCATGTCTAAACGTGGTTTTGGGAGTTGTTTATGGTGTATAGTTGGGGATTTCAACACGATGAGAAGACAAGATGAGAGAAAAAGGGTGATTGGTGAATACGGTGCACGGGATATGGAGGAATTCAATTCGTTTATAAGAGATATGGAGTTGATTGATATACCACTAGTTGGGAAGCGATTTACTTGGTTTAAAAGTGATGGTTCTATGATGAGTAGGTTGGATAGGGTGTTGGTCTCAGAAAGTTGGAGTGCTCATTGGGGCGTAGGATATGTGGAGATGATCCCACGTGATGTATCTGATCATTGTCCATTGATTTTGAACCACAAGGTACTAAACTGGGGTCCTAAACCGTTTCGCTTTAATAATTGTTGGCTTTCACATAGTGGTATTGAGGGTGTGGTGAGGTCTGCATGGGAGAAACAGGTCCAAGGTACATGGGCCGCCCAGAGATTAAGAGGAAAGCTCTTGAATGTTAAAAATGCTCTAAAGAAGTGGAACATCGACGTGTTTGGTAATGTGGATACCAAGATAAAAAGTCTGACCAAGGAATTAAAAGAGCTGGATGCGAAGAATGAGGATTACTTTCTTGCAGAATCAGAAAGGAGTAGGCAAAAGGAGCTAGTGGATGGTATTTGGTGTGCTCGGAGAAACAAACTAAGCTTGTTAGCTCTAAAGGCGCGAGTTCATTGGGTAAATATGGTGATTTAAATTTTAAATACTTTCATGCTTATATCAGGGGAAGGCAGCGACTTAACCAGATTATTGCTTTAAAGATAGGTGAGCGAATGGTAGAGAAGGTTTATGAGATCAAAAAGGTTGTGAGGTCATATTTTGAGGAGCATTTCAAAGCTAGAAGTTGGCTTAGACCACGATTATCACTTGTTGGCTTTCTTGTGTTGTCTAATGCGCAAAAAGCAAGGTTGGTTGGTGACTTTACTGAGGAGGAGGTGTGTTGTTTGATTAGGGAGAGTGATGGCGACAAAAGCCCAGGACCTGATGGGTTTAATTTTGCTTTCTTGAAGAGATTTTGGCCTCTTATAAAGGTGGATGTGATGGATTTGCTTGCTGAATTTCATACTAACTTGAAGGTTCTAAAGGCTCTTTTGTCTTATTTTGTGGCTTTGGTCCCCAAGGTTCCCTACCCTCAAGGTATGACTGATTTTCTTCCTATTTCGTTGCTTGAGTGCTTGTATAAAATTATTTCTAAGGTATTGGAGAATAGATTACGTGGTATTCTTCCATCAATTATCTTAGAGAACCAGTCTGCTTTTATTCCTGGTAGACATATGTTGGATAGTGTTATAGTTGCGGCTGAGGCAATTGATTATGCTCAGAAATATAAGAAGCCGATTTTTGTTATGAAGATTGATTATGAGAAGGTATATGACTCTATGGAATGGGATTACTTGTTGTTCATGCTCCGAGGGTGTGGTTTTGATGAGAGATGGGTCTGGTGGATGGAAGGTTGTGTATGTGGGGGTAGTCTATCAGCCCTTGTGAATGGGAGTCCCACAGCGGAAGTAGCTATTGGTAGGGCATTAAAGTAGGGAGATCCACTAGCACCATCTTTGTTCCTAATTGCTGCAGAAGGTCTCAAATTGTTGAGGACTAGGGCTTTAGATATGAATCTATTTACGGGATTACACATGGGTGGTGAAAGTTTGCCAATTTCTCTTTTGCAGTTCGCTGATGATACTTTGATAATTGGATAAGCTACTATGCAGAATTTGTGGTGCTTAAAGTCCATATTGCGTTGTTTTAAGTTAATTTCAGGTATGAAAATTAATTTTCACAAGAGTTGCGTGGTTGACATTCACTCAGGGGTAAATTTTATTGATTTGGTGGCTTCTTTTTTACATTGAAAGGTGGGTCAACTACCGTTTAAGCATTTGGGCTACCTCTTGGTGCAAATCCTAGGAAGTTGTCTACTTGGAGACCAATGCTTGATGGCTTACGTAAGTGTCTATCATCTTGGAAACATAGGCATTTGTCCATTGGGAGGAGGGTGACCTTAATTAATTCGATTTTGAATG